GTAGACTAGTTGAATTAATGCGCCGATTTCCCCAAATATGGCAGAGTGATCTCCAGTGTGCAGCAATTCAAGTCAATGGTTCGTGTGTGTCCCCCCCCTCCCCCGTGTTGTGGAAAAAGCAAAATGGTTCTAGTATAAATTCATCAGCGCCTTTTGACTTCCGTGTTCTACTTTTCTGTATCTAAGGGAGTGGCATTTGGACGGGCGGGGAATTGCCATCCCTAGAGAACTTGTTAGAAACAGTCACACAGGGAATGCTTCTAGATCGCATTGAATCAGATCATATGTTTTAGTGGACATCCAGTTATACTTGTAAGCTATAACAATAAGTAAACTTTCAATTCACCATTAATGTTCCGTTTGAAATATGTAATGTATGATATGAATTCAGCACTAAAATGTGTATTCTTATCTTGACATCTTAATTTTAGACCCTATATTTGTCTCAGCGCGCAGGAGGCAGAGGCAGGTGGAGCCCTGTGACTCTGAGGCCAGCCTGGTTCACATAGGGAGTTCCAGGCCAGCTGGTTCTACAGAGAGACCATGTCTCTGAATATGAGCATATCCTGCCATACTATTTCCATAGTTAGAAAACACATTAGAGAATATGACCATGTTCAAAAGCATCTTCAGAATACTCTGATCCTCCCTACATCAGAAAATGCCTCTCGGTCTCTTTGGTCTCCTTGATTCAAGAAAAGCAATCTGCCTGTGGACAGATGGTCAAACTGTTATTGTTCATTTTCTGGTGTGTTGACATTTGGTGAAGTGGCTGAGGACTTCTCGCAGGAGGAGACGGAATGCCTAGATCCTGCTCAGAGGACTTTATACAGAGACCTGACAGCGGAGATTTGCAGCTCTCATTTCTGTGGGTGAGAAAGTTTTTCTTAAAGAATTCCTTACTCACATTCAGACTTCTTTGTTGAACAGCTGTGTGCTTGTATGTGTGTGTTAAGTCTGTGTGAGAGAATGTCACATCTCATAAAGTGAAATTCTCAGAGGAGAAAAGAACACTGTAATGTAATTGTGTCTGTTCTCATGTTTGTCCTTTGGGAGGGGTTGTGCTTATTTCATTTTGTTCCATGGTCAATTCAGAAACTATACAATATAATATTGCCACTCAATCACAAAGTTCCGTTTCCAACCTGGAATTTGGGTTGAGCTGTAATTTGAGGTAGAGCACTAGTCATGCAACCTGAAGAATCTCCTTAAATATCAGTGTTCTGACAGAATATTCCAATTGGAGAGTCATTGATAGAATTCCCTGTTGTGTTCTCTTCTTTATCTATTGAGCTCACTACTGTGTTAGAAATCCTTTCTAAAGGGTCACATCATGAACCACCCAGCACAGGCATACAAGGGTGCTAGAGCATTAAGTGTGTTGGTATCTTGTGCATTAAGCTATGACCACCTGGATCCTGGGGGTGATGGTGATATCCAGAAACACACTCAACAGATAGGTGGCCCTGTGGGACACACCCCTGCACAATTTGCAAGTGTGGAAAAACATTATCATCAATTACTAGAAATTGCATTTTGAGCCATGGAGTCAGACATCCATAAATTAAAATGCAATATTATGGGATAGCTTCCACTTTTTAATACTTTTAAACATTTTTATTTATTATTTTTATTTTGTATATGAATATATTTCCTGCATGTATATAAATGCACCCATGTCAGGCAGTGCTCACTGAGGTCAGAACAAGTCATCAGATCCCCTGGAACTGGGGATATAGGTGTTTATGTTGCCATCTGGGTGCTGGGAATTGAATCCAGGTCCTTTTCAAGAGCAGCCATTGTTGCTGAGGCATCTCTCCAGCCCGATATTATTAATTTTTGACAAAGAAGAACTATATGTATTTAGGAGGTGCGATGTGATATTTTGCTCTCTACATACATTTTTGAAATTGACTATTAACACATTTCTCACTTCATGAATTCTCATATTAAAAGGTATATACTGGAGGAAATGTCACAAGATAGTTTTGAGACTGAGCATTGTTTTGTAAGTCTATTCTAAAGTGACTACTCCTTCAAAATTGAAATTC